ACTGTGTATGCATTAAGTCATTGCTCTACTGACAAAATGATAGCTTTCGTGAGTCAATATGGTGGGGAATCATTAACAAGGCTGCAAAAAGTTCCTACCTTACTTATCCCGCTTGTCCAAAATACAACCCAGGAAAGCCTATTTGTACTCCTCTGGGACATCTTAAACTGCCCGATGAACCACTTGAGGTCTGGCAAATGGATCTCATACAGCTTCCTCTGTCTAATGGGTATAAATATGTTTTAGTCCTGGTCTTTATATTTTCACATTAGACTGAAGCCTCCCTTTGTAGCCATGCTACTTCCTCTTCTGTGGCCAAAGTCCTTTAGGAAAAGATTATCCTTACCCAGAGAGCTCCTCTTGAACTTCATAGTGATCCAGGAACCAATTTTACTTGCAAGATGCTTCAACAAATCTGTTACAACACTTTTCGCTGTGCTGACCACCCTCAACCCTCTGGTTTAGTCCAGTGTATTAATGCATTATTAAGGCTCAATTGGCAAAACGTGTAGAGGCCCTCCAAACACCTCGGCCAAAATGCATCACCACTAGTCTTTCTAAATCTTACAGCCACCCTTTTTGGAACTTGTAACTCACCAGCTGAGACAGTCACAGGCTGCCTGCTGCCCTTGGCTCCTGCTCGTTTTCACCCACAACTGACAAAAGGAGAAATGCCCCAATATTGCAGAGGCTTAATTGCTTCTTTTAAAAATAATCATGTTTTGGCAGAACAATCTTCATAGTATGTCCTCAGGAGATGAAGACCTTGAGCATCACATCTTGCAACCTGGAGATTTCATCTGTTGGAAAAGACACCTCCAGGAGAACTCTTTTCAACTTCAACGGAAAGGTCCTGTCTGGTACTGATAACCAATCCTTGTGCTGTCAAACTCCAGGGAATGGACTCTTAGATTCATGTGATGCGCCTAAAAGAGTGTCAGCCCCTGACTGGACATCATCCTGTGATCTGAAAGTAAAGGTTTTCTTCATTTGAAGCAGATGACATCTAATGAGACAGTTTTCCCAAGATATCTGAACCACGCCTGTGGGCAATGATGGCATAACACTTCAAATGCTCTCCGAGTATATAATGCCATAATTTTGATAACATAGATTATAGATAAAAAAAAAGTGCCTGCCAGTTCTGCCTCGTTCCCTTCCTTGTTACTTGGTTGGAACCTCAACAGGTTTCCCGTCTGTGCTCTTTCTCTCTAACGTGGGCTACTACACTCAGAAAACGTCCTTCCTGGCACTGGGGGGCAGAAAACCACTGACGCTGGAAAACCTGACTCTTGTCAGTGATGCTGTCAAAGAAAGAATTGAACAAAAGGGGAAAATGTAAAAAATTAATACATAGAAACCTCAATTAAATAGAGTTAGGACACCAGGAGGGGGAGCTCTCATGACCTGCAATGACAGAGCAGAGCCCAACGGGAAGAAGAAAAAGACTCCTCTTCTTTCCTGGCAAGAACTCAGCCAACAAGAAGCCATGAAACCTTTCTTTACTACAGCTTTTTCTACTTCCTTTTCCTTGTACTAAAGCCTTCTCCTTCCCATGCTGTGTGTGGACTTGCACGTGGCTCACCATGGTTGCAGACCCTGGATTGCAATTCTCTGCTGATTCTGAATAAAGTTATTTCTTTGCTGGAGAAATATCTGGCAGCTTACACCAATACATTAAAAGATGGTGGGGTGGGAAAAACATGGCCATTTTCAAAATGCTACCTGGATAACGGATTCCTTTAGCATTCCTTTATATGGAGAGCTAGCTATATGGAGAACTATAATGCATATAACATTATGTTTCTGTTATTGGAATTGTTTTTATTCAAATATGCTTTATTAGAGATAATTTACCTGGCATCAAACTATTGCATACAAGGTGTGTGAGATAATTTTTAAGTAATAAATACAACCACAGCTAGTCTATTTCTTCCCAAACTATACTCTGTGGAATGCTAGCATCCCAAGATGTTAATGAAGCATTCTCTGAAAAACTGTTCCATGACCAAAGCATTTGGGAAACACTGAGTTAAACACAGTAAGATGCATTTTGAAAATGCAGGATTCCCTCTGAGATTCAAATATGTTAAGATGTATGTGTATCTATCGTTAGGTAAAAAATTGCCTTAAAACTTAGTGACTCAAAGCAACAATATACACAATGCTGCTCACAGTTTCCATGTGTCAGGAATTTGTGAGCAGCTTGGTTGGGTGGTTCTGGCTCAGGGTCTCTCATAAGGTTGCAGTCAAGGTATTGCCTGAGGCTGCATCATCTGAAGGCTTGACTTGGGTGAAGGAGCTACTTCCAAGATCCCTCACTCCCCTGGTCGGCAAGTTGGTGCTGGTTCTTGGTGGGATCCTCAGTTCTTGCCCCCATGCACCTTCCCACGGGGCTGCTTCAGTGTTCTCACGGCATGGTGGCCACCTTCCCCCGAGGACCAAGTGGAAGATGCAGTGCCCTATTTAACCTACACTTGGAAATCACACACCACCACTCGTGCTGTTCTCCATTGGTTACCCTTACCAGCCTTGAATCAGCTGAGAGGAGGTGACGAAAGGGGATAAGGAGTAAGAAGTGGGGCCACCTGGGGGCTGGCTACCATGATGCGACACAATCTTAGGGAGAGGTTGTGGCCTATAGTTTTCCCCAAACTTGCTTTATCACAGATACACAAAGTCCTTTTGTTTCTTAAGGAATTCTTAACTCCTGCTGTGTGTTGACCCCCCCAGTGTTCTAGCCCAAGTGGTTCAACTCAATCCCTAGCACAGGCTGAGCTGCTGTCTTCCACCCTGCATGGCGCCAGGAGATGCCTTTGTATTACAGGGCATAGGGGTGTGTGTGCGTGTGTGTGTAACGGGTGCGTGGAGCCAAGCTCGTGATCTGAGCCTGGCCAGGGGGCACTGGGATGGCCAGGTGAAGGCTGGGAGCTCCGGGGGCAGACGCCTGAGCTGAAGGAGCTCCGGGCATTTTCACTGCGCCGGCCCAGGAGGACATCCCTCGCTGCAGCGCTGAGCGAGTGCCCGCTCTGACCGCTGTCCCTGTGGCCAGGAGTCCGTGCACGTGATGCTTCTCCCCGCTTCTCGATCCCTTTCTCACTTCCTGCCTTTCCCCACCTGGGTTCACTGTTTCTCCTCCACTCTAAAGCTATCTTCCAGGCTTTTCTTTCACAGAAAGCCCTGATGGCTAAATCAGAACGATGCTTTAAAACAGGACTCCTAGTCGTTAGCAACAGAAGGAAGCAGCTGTCCCGTGCGTGCTGTGGGGAGGGCTCTGCTCCCCAACACTGTGCTTGCTGAGCACTTTCTGGGAAAGGTTGCTCCTCCTCCCCCTGCCTACCCAAACGGAAGGTGGGAAAAGAGGCAAAACAAGTTGGATTTTTATATTGAATTAGATTGAACACCTGTGTCCTCGTGTGTTGAGACATCGTGTCTTTCACTGGCCTGACCCTACTTGCATCTGTCCTGGGGGGGTCAGTGCAACCCTTCCAGTAGTAAAGCTTCTTTGAAGTGCCATCGCCCGAGAGTCAGCGTCTTTCCTGCTTTGGTTTTGCACTTGCTTTTGACATTCACATCTGCCTCCTGAAACCCCTCTTTCTGCTTCAGTTGCTGCTGTGAACTGGGCTCAGGCACTGCACCAGCTGCCTCTTTTCTAGAAAGTGTGAGGTCGTGGAAGTCACATCTGAAAGCTGCGGCCCTAACCACACGGATGCTAGAAGGCGACGCTGTGATAATTAGCATCCCGGGCAGCCAGGCCGGGGGTGCAGGATTCATGTGCGTCACTCCGTGTTTCCTGCTCCCCTGCGTGGTAAGGGTAGGCCCATGACTGCCGAGTGGCTCACATAACCCAGTCCTCGAAAGGAAGGGATTCAAATACATACGATGCGCCATGACTGAGGGGGCGAGGCGGTGCACGTGAGCTCAGCTGTGTGGGCACTTGGAGCATCTCTGAAGCTGGCCGGCGAGGTTATCAGAGATCCTCTCTTTCTCTCTCTCAGTCTCTCAACTGACTCACTTTTCCATCCACCCCACTTGAAGTGATCTCCTGGGCAAAGTTTACTTACTCGTGGGAGCCTTTTTCCTTGTGTCATTTCCCTCCTTCCCCGAAGAGCAGGTGTTTTTCAGGGACATCTGGGAAGAGGCTAAAGGGAAAATCATTCCTGGACAGGGTGGTTCTGGAAATTTTCAGCTCTCCTCTGAATTGTGAACCTCCAGACTTAAAAGACACAATTCTTTCTCCAACACAATTGCTGAGTAAGCCCCAGAGTTGTTATTACTGAGAGAAAAGGGTGGCTCCTAATTTTGGCAGGAAGAATAAAGATGAATGTCCTCACCAAAATGCTTATCAGGGAGCTTTGAACTCTTGCCAAAGACCCATCTTCTCAATGGCCCTCCCTCTTCCTCCAGCAAATCAGCTGTTTTCCTTGGTTGATCTGTTTTCCTAAAATGCTGTGTAGTCATTTCCCCATGAATTGTCTCATGAAACTACTTCGAATGTCTTTCCTGAGTGAAGAACAAGAAAACTCTGGCATGGGAGACAAGAAAACTTAAGTAAATTGCTTCAGAGTAACTTTACCTTGGCTTACAATAGCCCCCTGGTCTATCCCACCTCTGTGGGAGTGGCTTCTCATAAAATCCAGTGAAAGCTGGACTAGAGACTAAAAGAACACTTACCAGGTGTCTCTGCTTATAAAACTTAGCCTGTAAGACAGGATGGTCCCCACCACTGGCCTGGGGCAAATGGATTCCAGTTACTGGGTGTAGGCACATGGTTTCTTGGCAGCATGAGGAGTTATTGTGACTGGTTGGCACTGAGTCACCTGGGCCAGGTGATGTGCTCAGTCACTGATCTGCAAGATCCTTCGCCATGAGCCTTCCACTACATCACAAAGGGAATCTTGGGGTCATCGCCACTCCTGGATATGAAATGCCCTGGGATGGGGTGGCCAAAAAGGAGCCATTTCCAAGTAGAGGACTTAAGAGTCATGGCATGGCTACACGATCTCTCTTGTCCCTCTGCTGTGGGACCAGCATGTCCCAGGGAGGAGCAGCTCCTGAAACAGCTAGGGAAGTATAAATCTGCCTGAGGTGTCTGAGACAGAGGTTAATTCTTTGTATATCACCAAGAGTTGGTACACAGGGGACAGGAGCAAGGGATCCAGAAAAACTGTGCAGACTTTAGATTTGGGGGTGTAATTGGGGTAGAGGGGTGAAGGGTGAGGCATTCGGGAAGTGGGAGGTTTTAGATCATTTGTGGACACAAGAGGGCTAAAAAGGAGAGGCGAGGACAGGGACATTTTGTGAATGCTGCTCTAGACTTTAAATCAGATCACTTTGGTGCTTTTTAAAAGAAAAGATTCTACAGGAAATCTTTGCATGGAAGGCTGCTGAGACTGGCTCACAGGGGCCCTAGGATCCACTAGGGACAGTCATGAGTGTGTGCTGTGTAGCAATAACTGTAAATGGCCTAGAAATCTAGAGGCAGGTACTCAGTGAAGCCTGGAAGAGCCAACAAAGGCTTAGATGGATTGGCATTTTAAGCTGGGCCTTGAAATCCAGGCAGGATCCAGAGGGGTGGAAAAAAAGTGACTGGATCCGAACGGGGAGCTGCATCATAGAGCCATAAAAACAAGTCCAGGCGTATTCAAAGACACTGAATGAGATTCTATTGGTCTCCGATAAAGAGACCTTTTCAAAAATGCTGTTTCTCCATTCCACCATTGGGGAAATTTCCTTACTTTGTAGAAGTTGCCAAATCTGCTTAATGCTCATTGAGGTGGTCATGAAGGACAGAGGGAGAGAGGGGAACATGGAGGTGTATGCGGGCGCTCACGCAGCCCCCACTGAGGTCTGGCTGCCAAGCAATCTGAGGGTGGCACAGAGCACTCTCTCTGCTACCTGGTGGGCAGGCTGGCTGGCCACATTGTGTTAGCGCCCAGGTTCCTTAAACTCGGAACAGACTGAGGTCTTTGGGAAGCCCAAAGCACCGAGAACATCCGGTCACTTCCCCATGCATTCGAAACACGCCTAAGCCCTAGAAATACGTGTAGAGTCCAGCAAAGTTCTAGTTTTCTCCATGAAGGGTCTACAATTGCTGTTACAAATCAATTAAAAAACGGAGCCTCTCTTTCTGTCCTTGCCCTGAGCATCTGCCGACCTCCTGCTGGGGACATTGCGCTGCCAGGACTGCCGGTCTGCACTTTCACTGCGGCAGGAAGGCTGACAGTAGGGTCAAGGGTCCTATGTCACCTGCCTCTGAGGACAGTCTGGGCTGACTGGGGGCCTCCTCCCTGACCCTAAAGATTGGGTGCGAGGGCTGACACCCCACCCTGTCCCAGCAGTGACACGCGTGCAATTTGGCTCCTTCATGGACTTGCTCACAGGCAGCACCTCTCGACAGAGTAAGTGCTTGGTAGGACCTCGGCCAAACCTTTGCACAGGCCACTGCTCCCTATGGGAGAGAAGCAGAGGTCAGTGTTTTGAGCCATCTTCTCCTCCTCGCCAGAGCACCGGGTGTCAAGGATGCAGCTGTTGAGTGACTTCTCAGGTATCTTCTGCCTGTCTCCTTGTCTGAGTGAGATGCCCCATCTCTGGGGCCCTGCCCCCTGTCCTCACTGCTCTCAGCATCCTCATACATTGTGATAGCGGTCCATCTCCTATTATATCATATTTAGCTTTAGTGCAAGAAATGTACATGTGTTTATCTTTGAGTCCTGAGTGCTTTAAATAGAGCCTGGCACCGAGTAGCCACCCACAACATGTTTCCTGGGAGAATGAGTGAACAAAACACTGTCGGGGAGCAGAAAACCAGCTGTAGGCGTGGACCACCCTAAGTGAACTCAGGAGGGCTCCCCTGGGATGCACGGTGAACTTCGGAAAGACCTAGGTCCCTGTGGCAGGTACCTCCGTCCAGGAATCAGTAAGAGGTGGGAGGAGGCTGGAAGGAGGACCAGGAGAGACATGAGAAGGGAAAACCCAGAAAAGTCTTGAGTACATCAGGGAGATGGTTCTTCATGTGTTCAGTCAGCTGGATGAAGACACTGTGTAGTTTAGGAAGTGAATGATGACTGAGAGTGAAGTGGAAGGCGTATCAGAACTTCACGCAGATGCAGAAACTATTTCCTCCTGGCCGCCTGTCCCACTTTTGTTGAAACAAAACCAAGAGCAAGATATGAACAACTATATGGCAATAAATCGGACAACTTAGAAGAAATGGACAAGTGTCTAGAAACATACAATCCACCAAAACTGAATCAAGAATAGATCATTTGAACAGACTGTTAACTAGAAGTGAAATAGAATCAGCGATTAAAAAAACCTCCCTGTAAACAAAAGTCCAGGACCAGATGGTTCCGCTGGGGAATTCTATCAAACATACAAAGAAGAGCTCATACCGATCCTTCTCAAACTCTTCCAAAAGATTGAAGAGGAGGGAATACTCCCAAACTCATTCTTTGAAGCCACCATCACCCTGATACCAAAGCCAGACAAAGACATGACCAAAAAAGAAACTATAGGCCAATATCATTGATGAACCAGGAGCAAGAGGCAATCCCTGCAAAGGAACTTTCTCCTGGCATTGGGGTGTCATGTCTTGCTGGGGTAACCAGAGGCTGCTGCGGGAAGCAGTCAAACCTACGCACTCAGGGCTGGGGGCCTCGGCACAGAAGGCTGCACATGGTGGAATTACTGCAAGCAGATTCTCCCAATTGACTGAAATCTTCTCTACTCTAGACTTTTTAAAACTCTCTTACACCGGGGGCCGAACGTCTCACGAGATTGGCCCCTTCTCTCGCGACACTAAGCCCACTGCTCTGACGAATGTAACTCAAATGACTACAGGTCGAGTCTATTTTTAACTCACAAGAATAAATCAGTCCTAAGAAAACCAGCTCCTATCAGGCATTTAGTAAATGAAGAAGGAAAGAGTGAATTCCAGGGTCTCAGCTGATCCAGAGGAAAAGATTTGGAAAGATGAAAAAACAAAAAGCAAAAAACCCATAAGGGCTAAAACAAAACAAAAGTTTATCTTGTTAAAAGCAAGTCAAGTATTTATGGTTCTCCAGGATTATTCCTCAAGCCGCCTGTGCCCCACAGGGTTAACAGAAACTGGTGACTAATGGAAATTCTTGAGCTTGTCTTACGGAACAGCAGGTAAGGGAACAACTTGTTAAAAACTCCTGGCTTGTAACCTTGCTTCATGACCAACTTGCCTTAATTATTCTTTTTGACACCTTAACTGCCCCTATAGTTAATATCTTGGATGTAAGAGTTACTATAGTAACAGACGCTTAAATTGTTTTTCAGGACCTTGGAATCAGCTCCTGTCCAATTCAAGCCGGCTAAGACTGTCTGGGACCACAGACTCTAAAACTGGGCCTGCACAGGTGTCTGGTGAGCAACCTGCTCATGTCAGGAGCCCGAAAACTTCACCCTCAGGTCACGCTAAGTGCCTCCATTTTTGAACATGCATCCCATGAGGAAGCATGTAACTCAGATACACCTGCCCAGAACACAGATCACCTCACCTTTTCCCCACCTCTGATCACCTTCCCCCATGGCCAAAGCCACTCAGGTTCTTTATCCCATAAATATCTCAAGCCTCTTGTCACTGGGAAGGTGGATCTGAGATTTGTTCTCCCATCTCCTCACTAGGCTGCCTCATGAATAAACCTTTTCTTTGTTGCAAACCTTGGCATCTCAGTGTTTGGCTTGTTGCTTGTAACGCAAATGAAACTGTTTCAGTAACAGTCTTACCCTTTCCCACGTCTTGGCAACTCTATATCCAACATGAAAACGGTAAACCCACAACCTCAGCGAGGCAGCATTTTACCCTGAGTGGTTGCTTTTTAGTTCTGGATTTTACATCTGGGAACAGTCGGTGGAAAGTCTTGATACTGAGAGAGAAGACAGGAAACCATCACAGAGAGGAAGGCTTCGGTGGACACACAGAAGATGCTGGTAGGAGAGGCACTTTGCCCTTCCGGGTGCCCGCAAGCTCTGTACACCTCTTCTGACCACTGCCCTGGGTCAGTCACGGGCTTTCCTCCATCAGCAGGCATGCCATGGGGGTTCACGGAACGTGTGCTAAACTCCTTTGCAAAGGCAGGCAGGACCACCAGCAGCGATCGGCTTTGAGGATGCAGTGTGCTTATGTAGGAAGGTTCTGTGCTTTTACAGCTGAACTCTGAGTCAGGACAACAAAGAACTGAGTGATCTTTGCAGTCAGCCTGGCCCTGCTGACTCGGGGGGAGGAGAGAAGCCTGACGGAGGCCTGGACTAGCTCAGGACACGCAGGTGGAGGACACAGCCAGGTGACAAAAGTGAAGCAGCTGGACCAACCAGGGCGGGGCCAGGGGCTGAGGACCAGGGGTGGAGGGTAGTAACAGGCTCACGGTGTAGCTCTGTGAGTGCAGGACTTCCAGGTCATGTGTATCCAGATGTCTGTTTATATTTAACTGAACTGTTGAATAACCTGCTGATATTCTGTACCATAGAATGAATTCAGTTCTGTTCACCTTATTATATTGTTACTGTGCAGAGTCATGAGTTAAAAGACATTCTTTCATGTGTGTTCAGAAATTAAAGCAACTGCCGCCCAGGAGCACAGGGCCCAGGACTGTCTTCAGCCTGTGAGTCTGTGAGCTTCCTGCGGGAGATGAACGCCGAGAGCAGTTCCAAGCAAAAGTTCGCTCCGTGGCGAGTCAAGACCTGGGCCCTGGCCTCCTCTGCGCCATCCTCTGGGACTTGCTACGTCACAGGGAGCAGGAGGGCATTCTCCTGCACAGACGGTCGGTCGGCACAGCCTCCTTCCTGTCTCACTAGACTTCTTCTAGGCTATCCGGGGAGGGACAAGGGAAAGACCCACGTCTTCTGTGGTCCCCCACTTACAGACAAAAGAGACAGAAGGAAGGAGCAAGCAGGGAGCGAGTGAGCACGTGAGGAGATGGGGTGGGGGCGAGCGGAGTGGGAGGACGCGTGTGCGCATGCGTGCGAGAGCGCCCCGCCTTCTTAGCATCCTTCTGGCTCATGCCTCGTAGAGGAGAGCGAGTCCGCAAAGAGGACCCTCTTAACCCGCACCGATGCTCCACCTCCCGTTCCTGTGCTCAAGGTTTTGAAGCCGATCATTGCCCAGCGGTGCTGTTCCTTCTTGGAGGCGGGCTTCATCCCTGAGCACCACGAGCCTCTTCTGGTCAGCATGCCCGGCCCAGGTGGACTCCACTGAGATTTCCTGTCTTCATCCCAGCGGTGTGGTCTGGCTGACCGTGGCCCGGCGGACTGGCCAGATCAGCGGCCGTCGCTCTCTGTAGAGCCCCCCACTCGCTTGTGCCCATAGGGGGCTTTGGAGGAGGGAGCTCCAAGGATCTCCCAGCTGCTCTTACAGGTTCTCCCAGAGCTGAGTCCCCCAAAGAACCCTCAACCCCCCAGCAGGGAGATCTGTCGTCTCTGAACTTGACAAGTGCTGACTGCAGGCAGTTTGTCGGGGTGTACTACAAGATGGGACCCCAGATTAAGGGCAGTTCCCAAAGTTCCCATTTTCATGGTTTTCATCTTCAGCCCTCGCTGTAGATTGTGCCCGAGATTAGCCCAGTCTAATGGGGTAAGACTAGAGGGGTGTTACCCTGAGCAGAAGTGTCTCCTCCCTGCTTTTTAGGCTCAAAATATAAGTTGGTAAGTGACAAATTCATGTTGTAAATTTGTGAACTATGTCCTGCCCCAGTCCCAGCACCACCACCAGCGCTTTGACCTCAGTCCTCATCTTTGGGGGCTGTGGAGGTAGCAGCCTAGGCCCCCTCCCCTCAGGGCCATGTGCAGGCCTAGAGCTTCAGAAGGAAGCTGGCACCAGTGTCCAGAGCCAGAGGTGTCTGTCATCCTTCCGTGAAGCCTGTCTCCTGACTTGACGCGGAGGACCGCTGAGAAGGCACAGGAGAGCACACGGGTATGGTCACCAGGGAGAAGGGGGGCGGGGCCTCCAACGTGCCCTTTCTGATTAAAATCCCTCAAAATCAGAACTTCTAAAGATGGGAGGAAACTTGGGGCTCGTCAAATCAGGCATTCCCAGCCTTAGTGATGCAGCAGAATTACATGTAGCAGCTTGAAAAGGCAGATTTCCAAGGCCCACCGCAAATCTCCTGAATCAGGATCTCCAGAGGGTGGAACCCAGCGACCTGTGTGGAGCTGAGCTGGGGCAGCGCTGCCCAACCAAGCCACCCAGCATGAGTTTTACAGTCAGAGTGGATTTGCCACTCACCGCCTGTCTGTCCAAGTGATACAGGAAAAATGGGACGTGAGAGGATGGCCGTTTCCCAGGTCTCGGAAGAGACGTGGTGGGGCATGTCCCCAAATAAGGGTCCTTGGCTTCACCCAGGAAAGAATTCAAGAGTGAGCCATAGTAGAGTAAGAGTAGATTTATTCAGAGAGATACTAACTCCATAGACAGGTCATCTCAACAGGTAAGAAAAAGGCCGAGAGAATGAGGGCTACCTTACTCAGAAGGGAGAGCGGCAGCCTCAGAGCATGGGGTCGACTGGGAAAAATGAGACCACGAGGTGTGGGGTCTTCATATGCTAAAATGTGGGAAGATTATTCCAACTACTTTGGGGAAGGGGCTGGGTTCCCAGCAACTGGGCCACCTCCCACATTTGACCTTTAATGGGCAGCCTTGAAACTGCCCTGGCGCCTGTGGGGGTGTCCTTTAGCAGCTAATGTGTTACAATGAGCAGATAGTGAAGCTCAAGTTCTACTGGGAGTTGAATCTTCTGTCCTCTTGGTGCTAATTGCTCTGTTATTCTTTTAAGGGTTGTGCCCCGCCCCCTTCCCTCCTGTCTCACAAGGCCAAGTTACCCGGCCTCAGTTTCCCCATCTGTAAAATGGGAGTAACAACACTTGGCAGGGCTGGGGTCAAGGTTAGAGAAGACACTGCATGTGAAGAGCTGGGTGTGGAGTTGCAAGCTGGCGCACAGCCAGCCCCAGCGGCTTGCTGCCTGCCCCACAGTGGGGTGCGCATGTGGGGGAAGTTCCTGTGGGAGCAGGTGACCTGCTCACCCATCATGCATTCAGTCCTCGGGGAGATGGAGCTTGATAAGGAACCCAAGCATGTGAGTTCCGGACACCAACGGGGTGACTTTGCGTGGATGAGCTGTCTCCAGTAGCCCTGGGGAGGAAGCTCGTTCTGTCAGGTCAGCTCAGCTCCGGCAGGGAAACCTCAGTGCTGTCTTTTCTGCACCTCGCAGTCCTGCTGACACAGACGGGCAGGTGGATTGTTACCTGGGCCACAGTGGATTAAGTGAAACCAGAGCTTTGTGCCCAGGGGAGCAGCTGGAGGATGGAGCCCTGGGAGAGGGAAGGGGTTATGTAAATCCTGGCTGAGTCACTGGGCTTGTGTGTTGATTAGATAAGGGCTGGGACTCTGAAGCCCAGTGACGAACAACTGAGCTCCCAGGCTGGTAATGGCCTGATTTGAAAGTCTGAGGCGGGACGCGGGCTGAAGGGCAGATTTCCCTGATGGGTCTGTGGCCGCTGAGATAATGCCTGGTGGCAAGGGGGCTGGTGCAGGGACCACAGAGTCGGCCTGTTCCTCCAACAAGCGGGCTTGAGGTCCTGCTCTCAATGGAACACAAAGGCAGCTGAGCAGCCGGGAGCTCTGCCCCTGCGAGTTTAAAATCCCAATGAAGCTTAAGTAAAAACTGGCAGGTTAACAAAATCATGATGGATCACAGACACGGCAGCTTGGAAGTCAGCCCTGGGGACAAAGAAGTGGCAGGAGTCTTTGGGGCTCTGGGAGATGGATGACCTCATTTTTACCTCCCGGGTGAGGAAACAGAGAGAGGCCCAGGGAGGTTAAGTAACCACCGCTAAGAGGCAGAGCCAGGATTCAAGTTCATGTCTGCTTGGAGTCAGCACTCAGCTCAGGGAAGCCGAGCAGGATGGGGGCAGGATCTGATGGAGATGCCAGGTTCAATTCCAAAGGCTCTTCCAGCCCCTAACCGTTGGTGGCCCCCGAGACGTTCCGGGACGTGGTCTGGACTGCTCACTGGGGTTACTGCCGGGCATCGTCTTCAGCCAAAGACAGGCAAAGGCCTTGTCCCAGAACCCGCAGGCTGAGAGATCTGTGCTGTGACCTTCCTGCTGGGAACTTCCTGAGGCCCCACACGGTGGTTTTGCCCACCAAAGATACTTCCAGCGCCAGGACATCTTCAGGGGTCTGCTGGGTGATATGACCCAAGCAGCCTGCACCCTCTTGCTCAGTGACTCACTCCAGCCTGGGAGCCTTCCGTGTCACCTGACAAATGGCCCAGAGGAGTATTCTCAGCGCCACGCAGACTGCCTCTAAAACCCGAAGAGCCCTGTCATGCGCTGTGTTTCTTAGTGATGGGAAGGGCAAGTTGCAGTAAGTTGTCCTTTGCGCCGGGCAGGGTTCCCTGCAGGCAGAGGTGAATTGGGGAAATAATCTATTTGTCACCTGGTCTTCATGTATTTCTCAACTCTAACTGGATGATCGTGATGGCTTTTCAGCTCCCCAGCGATTGGTGTCAGCCCAGACCCATATCTAATAGTCCAGGAAGTCTGCCTAGACCCCTTCCCCAGGGTTTGGTGACTTTGGCAGGTGACCTCTGGTCACTCTGGGAAAGGATGGGGGAAATTTACTACAGATGGTTGCAGGGTGCTGCAGAGCCTTCCCTCCAGGGCATCCAGGCTCGCCTTTGGTCAGTAGGCACTAGATCCGTGAATGATTTAAATCTGATCACTGAGGGAAGGGCCAGCTCTCAATCCTCTTTGTACAGGTTGAGTGGCGCCCTGCATGGCTCTCTGTCTATTTGGTGTCTGACGACACCGTGGTGGAGGAGCCATCACCACACAGCCCTACAGGTCAAGCGCCAGCAGCGCCTTGACTGCTAGTCTTGTCTTGGGTCATCACATCCAGTATATATTTTTTTGGAAATTTGAGTGCCCCCTGGCCTCTGTGATTCTCTGATTACATTATCCTCACTGAGATGAAGGAGGCCAATTCTATGATGTCATCTCTCACTGTCAACCCTGCCCTAAGAAGTGCAGCCCTCTCTAGGCTTTTCAGAGATGTCAAGATAGCCGTGCACAGTGTGTCCCTTGTAATCTTGGTGGAGGGTCTCAGGGTATATAGGCAGGGATGGAGGGATGGCATCCCCTCTCACCTCCTTACCGCCCTGAGCCCACTGACCCTTTTCTCGCTACTGTGACAAAGAATTTGGTCTCTCTTCCTCATTAAATAAAGGTTTTCTTTCTGTCAAGTCTTCAAGGAGGCATCTCAGCAGACTCCTAGGTCTGGCTCCTAGGTGTCGTTGTCAGAACGTTGGACCTGAAGTTCCACGTGAGGGCTCCCACGTCAAGTACGCTCTGCCCTACCCGGCGTGCGTCGCCCCACTCCCGTGCCAACATCTTCAAAATTATTTCTGCATGCTTTCCTACTTCTTGGCCATATTGATTAGCCAGGGCTGCTGTTCCCTTAACATGCCAACTACGTTCTGGGGCAGGGGCTACTTTTTCCTCTTCAGGTGGCCTTTGTCCTGGAATCAGTGAGGGGAGGTATGGGCAAAGCTTGGGAACAAGCATCACCACCATGCAGATCACCTGCTTCAGGAAGGTCTTTTCATGCTTAATTTCCAGGCAAAGCGATACTCTTTTCTAGAAAGGAAGATTGGGTGGTCCACGGGGTTCAGGACCTAGGGGCTCAAAATTCTCAGGCTCAGCCATCCAAATTGAATTGGCAGTTGGCTGCGCTAAGTTTATTATTTTTGTTTTTTAAAAGGCTTCCAGTGCAGTACAGAGCAGCCAACTTCCTCTGCATTTCTTATGGCTGTTTGTCACCGAAGGCACCACAAGCCAAGAGCTTGTCTTCTACCTGCATCTCATTCCATTTATACAAAACATTCAGTCTTTCACCATTAAGTGCGATGTTAGTTGTAGAGTTTTTCATAGACAACCTTTGCCAGGTTGGAAATACTCTTTCGTGCCCAGTTTGCTGAGGGCTGCTGTCAAGAATGGATGTTGGGTTTTCGTCAAATGCTTTTTCCATGTCAACTGAGATCATCTTATCGTTTTTGACACTGGTCATTTTATATGTTGTTGGATTTTACTTGCTAAAATTTTGTCAAGAATTTTAAGCCTATGCTTGTGAAAGATAATGATCCATAGATTTCCTTTCTTATAATGTCTTTATCTGGCTTTGTTTTCAGAGTAATGCTAGTCTTATAGAATGCACTGGGAAGTAGTCTCTGCTCTTCAGTTTTCTGGAAGAATTTGTTTAAATTTGGTATTATTTCTTCCTTAAATGGTAGAATTCACTAGTGAAGCCGTCTGGATTTGGAGTTTTTTGTGGGAAGACTTTTAACCACAAATGCAACTTCTTAATAGATAGAGGATTACTCAGGTTCCTGGGTGACATTTGGTAGTTTGTATATTTCAAAGAATTTTTCCATTTTATGTTAGTTTTCAATTTCATTGGCATAAAGTTGTTAATAAAATATCTTCATTTTAGTATGTGTAGAATTCGTAGTCTCATTTCTGATATTAGTAAATGATGTCTTCTTTCCTTTTTACTTCATCAGCTGAGCTAGAGGTTTATCAGTTTTATTGTCCTTTTGAAGGACCAGCTTTTATTTCGTTGACTTTCTCTATTGTTTTTCTATTTTCTGTTTTCTTGATTTCTGCTCTAATTTTTATTATTTTCTTTCTTCTTTTCAGTTTGAGCTTTATTTACTCTTCTTCCCCCCACCCCCAGTTTCTTAAGTTTAAAACTGAGATCATTGACTTGAGACCTTATTTCTGTTCTGATTAAGGCATTTAGTGCTATAAGTTTCC